TATGTAAATATTTTTTTTACCTCTGATTTATTAGATCATATAATATGTTGTGAAACAGTGAAACATAAATATGGTGTACAGAACAACTCTAATACCTCCTTAAAAATTAATAATGAAGATTTACAAAAATAAAAGTATAAATAAGTATTCTTATAATTATGAATTTGGTTATACATCTAATATTAGAAATTATTAGTCTCTGGTATAAGATTATGATTTAATAAAAACTACAATGACTGTAAATAGTGTAAATATATTTTAAACTTATTAGACTGGACTAAATGTATTTTATCGCCCATTTTGTTGTTTAAACATTTTTATTTAGTCCAATCTAATAACTGTAATCGCTTAGGTGACGTTTTTGAAAATTATTGTAGAACTTCCAAAATTACATAGATAACTGATAGTCGAACGTATGACATGCCTAGCCCTAGTAGGGCTTTTTTCCTAGATTCAGAAAAGTATTGTACATATGTTGAAATAATGAAATGCACAGCTTCTTATGTTGCCATCTATAATATCTACCACTAGTACCACTGCTATTCCAGACATTATTAATATTTTGAGAAATGAATATTTAAATGCAAAAGATACTTTGTTTTCTGAAATCACTAAACTTATTAGATTAATTTTAACAATACCAGCATCTGCAGTGACAGCTGAACGTTCATTTAGTGCATTGAAAAGATTAAAAACTTATCTGAGGTCCACAATGACCCAAAAGAGATTAACTCACAGTGGCGTATTTTGGGTGATTTCTCGGGGGGTGTCAACATTTATTGAATCTCACAAACAAAATTTTTAGTATTATTTACTAATGTAAAAAGACATTGAATTAATTTTTTAACAAATTAATATGWTAGGAATTGACAAGAAGTTTTACATTTGATAAAAATAGTATACTATAAAATAAGTGACAACACCGGGGACAACATTAATGCCCAATATATTAGGACTTTTTTTTAAATGTCGGGGGGTGCCAAGACATGGAGGACACCCCCCCCCCAAAAAAAATACGCCACTGTTAACTCATATGATGATTATACATGTTCATAAATCAATGACAGCAAAAATTTATTTGAAGTTAATTGCCAAATAATTTGTTTCTAGAACTTCATTCAAAAAATCAACATTTGGAAATTGTTATTAATATTACAAGTTTAAATTTTCTTTAAATATTTCTAAATGTTGATTTCCTATGCGAAGTTTATTATTATTTTTTTTTTATATATTGTTAATTTAAATATAATTTCAGTTATAAAGTAAATAATATATTATCTGTTTTATTTCAATAAATATATGTATTTATATATATACTACCTACATTTTTTTATACGTTTTATACTGATTTCCTATTCTTATATATATATATATATATTAAAGAAGGTTTTCCGTTACTAAACACAAATAAATATATTAGTAATTATGCTCTTTATATTTTACTCCCTTCCTGAAAAATTGTTCTTGMGCCATCTGCCACGGTTATTATAAAAACCATGAATTAAGATATGCGTATAATATGGACACATAAAAGATTGATTTTTCATAAAATCTATGATAAGATGGCTGATCGATTTTTTACAAAATGTATAAAAACGAAATAACGATGTTACATTGAATTCAAAAATGTGTAAAATAAAATTTGCTCTATTTTTATGGTGAGGGCCTATACCCCCTACTTTCGCTTTTGACTTTCGCCAATGAGTCAAAAACATAAAAAGTTTTTCCTACAAACTATAGAAAAAAAGGTTAAGGAATTAAAATTAGTATTTAAAATTAAAATTGAATTTCTAAGAGTATATTTATTTTTTGCCAGCTTATAGCCTAAATGCATAAAAAATCCAATCGGTTTGAATCGGCATAACTATATTCTATATATAATTAAATCTACAAAAAATTGAAGTAATCTAAATCAAGAACTATTGAATTACTCAATAATGTATTATAGTTAAATAACCAACTTTTATTTAAATATAATTAAAAATATTTCGATTATAGTAATAATTTCGATATTGACTTACAAGTTAGTACTAAATAATTATATTATATTATAATATGAAATTATGTTATAATATTTGTTTTTATAAAATATTAGTTCAGTCTAACTTACCTATTGACTATTACTAAAAGCTATATATGTATATATTTTAAATTTTAATATTATATACATTTATATAAATAATATAATAAAATATCCTTATCACTGAAAATATATTTTAAAACTGTTATTTTACTCCTTTCTTATAATTGTTATACTTAAGTCTTCGCTCAGAATCGTAATTCATCGTTAATAAAGATGAAATATTAAATTAAAATTGAACACATTCATTAGTCATTACAATGATCTAAGAATCTAACTTAATTACAAGTTACACTTTTGATGTCTAATATGTATATAACAGATTGACTTTTCCGGTTTTTAAAAATATTAATTTAAATACCTAACAATATTCAACTGTCAACTACTATGCAAATATAACTATGTATATTTGTATATTAAAATTAAAATTATTTAATACAAATTACGTAAATGTTGTTAAATTAATAATGCTTTAGATACTAGTATAACTGCATTTATGTATATATGATAAATTATTGGTAAAAAAAATAACACGGCCACCTGATTTGGTAAGTACCTACCTGCTGAGTTTGTATGCACCGATTATGTACAAAAATACATTGAGTATTATACACAAAGGCCTTGTTAATAAATAACTAATTTTACAGATTAAAGATTTTGTAAAATGATGTATATGTATGTTACATTTTTTAGCGGTTCATATTCACAGACCTGAATTTACATTATTGCTTACCTACCGTTATTTTCGTAATGGTTCAGATGGTGATGAAACCGTGTACAGCAGTGATGATTCGACCAATGTGGCTGTGGCTGATGGAGGTCATCTTCGTGCCACATAATTTGTACGCGTGTTTGGTTTGACGAAGACTACTTTCTGCAACTATACATCCCAAATGTTGTAAATAATATAAATTGTAAGCCAGAATGGTTAAAAAAAATATATTTCATCACCGTGGATAACAGACATTCACAATGATCGACGATCTAGAGGAAACGTCCTGTGGTAGGTACATATTATGACTGCAACATGAAATGTGCGGTACGCTTATATATTATATTATATTATATTATGTTAGGGCACAGTATAAGTGTTATTAACGACACGTAGCGGCGACATTTTATACGCAAGCGCCGTACACACCGCATGCCGCCTGTATAGTGCATATACTGTACAACCGATTTCAGTGGCAATATATAGGTACTTAGACAGTACGAAATTATAGTTTGAGGCTATGTCAATAAGCACTGTGTATTTTCTAAAAATAATGAAAAATTATCGAGAATAGGTATGTCTTATAAAGCCATATTACCATTATATTACCATTACTCTATATATATATATATCATAACTAATAACTATATCCGCGATGAAAGGCTGGATTGGACAGTGAAGATGAACATTTAAACGTCTTCGTGACGAATATAGGTTTAATTCACAGAGTTTCTCCGTTGTATAATAAACAGTGGCGTTATTTAGGGTTTGACAAGGTGGGAATTTTGAATTTTCCCTTAACTAATTTTAAAAGCAGCTTCGCGATTTAACCTTTATTATATTTTGTTAGCTCAAGAAAATGTCTAAATTTTTATATTTGAAAAAAATATCATTATTCACATTAGAAAAAATAAATTAATATTACCATAATATTTTAAATTTGTATGCTATACTTAATTTTTTTTCACATCATTGTCATCGCATCTGTTTTATCCATGTTCTAATATTCTTGAATGGTC